TATCCGATTATCCGGATAATTTAAACATTTAAGCTGAGAGAGAGAGAGAGAGAGAGAGAGAGAGAGAGAGAGAGAGAAACGGTGGAATTAATTAATTTTTTTTCATAACGTAAAAATAATAATAATAATAATAAATTAATTTATTTTTTTTTGAAACCAATATTTATTTTACGGCGGTTTGTTCTCGCTTTTCAATTTTTTTTTTTTTTTTTTTAAAGGCTTATTTTTCCATTAATAATAATAATAATAACAACATCGTCATCAACATAATCATCATCATCATTTTCGTCGAGGACTACTCGTATTCCACAATGTCATCACATCTTGCCAGTTTTAATATAATATAAAACCATTCAAGAGTGAGTCGTTCGCTTTGCCACTTTTGACAAATCAATCACGTTTCCATATTTCGAATCCATATTTTTCTTACGTAAATAATTTCAATAAATCGTTTGCATAAGTCTTGTTACATTTGCAAACAACAAGAAAAAAAAATGCGTGTGAGTGCGTGTCAATCAATCGAGAGAATCCATTAAAATAATAATTTTTTTTTTTTTTTGAATAAAAGTGAAGGAGGATGGCAACGTGAAAACTTGTTTTTATGTTTTTCCTTTTCTTTCTTCCTTTTCAATTTTTTTTCTTTAATTTTCAAGTTTCTTTCTTTATAATAATAATAATAAATTAATTAATTATTAAAAAACGTGCACATTGTTTTCCATTGTTTTTGTTTTTGCGATACGAAAATTTCAAAACGATCGTTTTGTAATTATTTAATTTCTGATTTTATATTATTTCGTTCCGTTTCGGTCTTACAACCGTTACAACCGCTTCCATCCAATCCTGAGAAGAAGAAAGAAACAACCCAAAGATTTAAGGTATAAAAAAAGAAGGAAGAATCTGATGCGGTGGATGCGGCCATGATGGCGGATATGACAAAAAGTCAAACAAAAACAAAAAACAAAGAAAACATACACTCGAATCGGAAAATTTTCCCTTTTTTTTCCGTCGATTAACGACGACGAAGAATTTTCCCAAAACCCTTTTCCCTCTCTCTCTCTCTCTCTCTCTTATACGCAAATTATTTGTTAAAACGACGAAATGACGATATCGATCATCTTGGATTAATTTTTCACGTTTTCGATGACGTTTTTTCTTTTCTT